ACCTTTCGATGTGGCGTGACCTTTGATCCATCTTTAAGATGACCACGTTGTTGATGGATACTTCGGCCAAAGCTTTGTGACATTCTAGTACTAACCCTGAGTAAATTCGTGGCCTGTTCAAGGTGAGTAGTGCTTGTCTGCTATCTGTATAGATGAGCATGTTCCTTCCATAACTGCAAACGCATATTTATATAATTATATAACATCCACCAAATTCTTTTACTTTCCATTTGCCATTGAAGCGTTCGCACCATTTTACTCGAATATTCTTTTATAAAGAGTTCTAGCACATTTCCGAATAAATGATTCATACCCGGCTATCTGTGAGCATAGGCATCGCTATAGTTGGGGGTTTATTCCTTTCATCAAATATTCCTGGTTTTAAGGTCAAATGGGGTCGTAAGGCCCAAACAAGGCAGAGGATCAGAGTATGATCAGATTGGTGGGAAATAGCTCACATTGCCACCTCCTTAAGAGATAGTTTCTATTGGAACTCTTACGAAACTAAAATGGCGCACATTATTATATTATAGGGAAAAAAAACTATGTCATTTCCCATCTATTGTCATTTACAAAGATTTAATTGCTTTAAAAGATTGTGATTATTATGGCGACTAGTTTCGGCTACTGTGGGCCCAATATAAATAAAAGAGTTCCTCATCCAATGAAAACAAATTTAAATTTTCCATAAACAGCTGTTTTTGAAACCAAGACTATTTTCTAAAAATTTTAAAATTTTATTCACAGATTTAATAAAAGTTGTGGTAGGTAAAAAACCATTAAATTAAAGTTTAAAAAATTCTCATAAAAGTAAAATTCAATGATAACTGCAGCTGAGTAATTATTTTATTTATTTATTATAGCCCAATGTATGATAGAGAGACGAAGTGTTTTCTTTCGTCATACAGAAGCCACATTTGAACTTCTCAACTTAACAGAGTACAGTTATTCGCAAACATATTGTACTAGTAATTCCGTAACGAAAACATCTTAGAGGGTTTACTTTACTTCCAATGAAAAGAATTTCAATTTGGAAAGTGAGCCAAGTAAAACGAATAAAACATCTAAAAACGTCTGTTTTCAGTGTTCAGCGTTCGACATTCTTTTTATAAAACTTCCAAGTTATTTAATAACCTATTAATCTAGACTAGACGGATTCGTTTTCGGAGTTCGAGAGAGTTGCCACGCAAGTTGAGAAATTTTGTGAAATATATTTAATCATTTATTAAAAGTTGCCGGGTAAATGTTCGAGTTATTAAATAGTAATCAGCTTTGGAACATATTCGAGCTGAATACTTTTTGGAAAGAAGGGATTTCATCAGGCTTACGAGTTTTTATTGCGGTTTTGGCATTAAAATGGAGTATTCATCTAATTATTGATCGTGATCTGTGTACGATTTTTTTGTAGTCTGACACCATTTACGCAAAAGGAGAAGATTGTAATATGGAACCCTGCTGATATACAATCCCTTTCTTACTAATGAATCTTTAGCGACATCTCTTACTAATTCTCATTCGTACTAAAGGTATTTTGTGCAAGAAACTACAACCGGTAAAATTAAATCATTCTACATAGAGTTATTATAGTATAACCTAACAAGCTAGACAACATAGTGTAACCTAGAATGAATATCTATAATGCTCTTCACAATTTAACAGACCCCGCCCCCCCCTTAACCCCTCATTTTTATTCATATTTTTTTCAGAAGCAATAGACTTCATCCCCTTAAAAATCTTGATTTTCCCTAAAGATTTCATGTTGATATCGCTTTTGGTGTTTCATTTCTATTTCTTGTTATTTCAACCACCCTTAAAGGTTAACCCTCCATTTTGTTCGCCAATTTTTTTTTAATCATAGGCTTTGTCCCCATATAGTACTTGATATTTGCTAAACATTTCAAGTTGATATTGTTTTCCGATTAATATTCGATTAATCGATTATTATTTTTTTAATCGATAGTCGATTAATGGATTATTTTCGATTACTCGATTATTTTTCATTAATTGTTTATTTTCGATTAATCGATTATTCGATTATTTTTTATTAATTGTTTATTTTCGATTATTTTTTATTATTCGATAATTTTCTATTAATTCAATCACTCGATTATTTTCGATTAATCGATTTTTTAAATTATCGATTATATATACTTTTGATTATTTAATTATATTAGATTAATCGAATATATTCGATTATTTTCGATTAATTCATTATTTTCGATTAATCCATTTTTTAAATTAATCGAATATTTTCGATTATTTTCGATTAATTCATTTTTTCGATTAATCGATTATTTTCAATTAATCGATTATTTTCAATTAAGCGATTATTTTCGATTAATCGATTATTTTAAATAATTATAATAATAATCAACGGACAGACGGACGACGCGACGGGCGGGCGGACGGACGGACGAACGGACGGACGGACGGACGGACGGACGGACGGACGGACGGACGGACGGACGGACGGACGGACGAATGAAGCGAATGCATAACACACTTCACAGAGTATAATAACGGAGGTCCACAATATATTTGAAAAGGTCGCGGTGGCCAAAGAAAAATAATGACCAATTTCTTTCGAATTTAATCTAGTTTAACCTTATATAGAATTATCATTGGATCGAAAAGGATATAGCTAATAGATGGCGACACCGTATTTAAATACCAGCTCGAAAATCACTTATTTTAAACCGGCTGGCCTTAAGCTTCAAATCTGTTTATGTTCTATTATTTCGGATATTTTTTAAAGTCAGGTAAAAGGGCTTTAGTCACAATTTTGCAAAATTTAGATAAAACAAGTTTTAAACTAAACATTTTACGCTCTGTCAATTGGTATTAAAAGCTTTTAGTCTAACACCTTTTGTTAAAGCACAATGAATTGGTTTAAAGGCGGTAAGTCCGGTACTAACGTCTCAAGTTTACATAAATCTTTTGGACCAAAATATTTGTACCACAACAATACATCTTATGGACTTAAGTCAACTTAAGTTAGTACTTATGTTAATACTACAAACACGATACTCTAAATATGCAAATACAAATTGCTTGTAAATCAGGCAATGATAAAAAAAAGTTAGTGCAGAAAGGGAACTTCAATTATATTCAGTATCAAGCTAATGCCGCATATGGGTCAAAACATGTATATAAATAGGAAGCTAGAATGAATCCTTAAAGGAAATGCTAAAGTTTCGATTTTCAGCAGTGTTTGTTAACTCCCTTTGTCTTCTGCATTATTTTATTAAAGACAACTATGGACTTATGATTTGACCATTCTTAGTCTCATTCCACTTGACATTTACATAATACTTGTTGCTCTTATCGCAATGACACGACTCTGCATGGTTGAAATAGAACCTGATGTAGGATCTGGTGAGGCGAGACGTCGCTTTTAGCGGGAAGCGCTCGATACGCTTTCACTACTTCAAGCGAATATAGACGGAAGTGGAAGGTACGATTCATATCTACAGCGTCGGTTCTAAGACAAAACGAGGCTCAGGATGTTGAATATACCCTAGACCCTTAAACCTAAACATGCATGTTAGCAGGTAAACAAATTTTTGTGTGATTCCTCATTGTAATATAATGTATAGAACAGCGGCAGACAAGAGCGGGGGGTGCGGGGAAACTTTTGCGGTAGCAAAGTACCGCCGACACCTCCCCAGGCAGAACGATGTGAGTCGCCTTGAGTGTATAATGTGGTTGTTGGCTAATTCTCATGCATTGTGTTCTATCGGTGAACATTTGGTAACTAAATAATTATTTGACTATGCATGATTATGCAGTAGTACCAGTGCAGTTCAAACCCAGCTCACGGAAATTCTCATAGTAGTAAAAAGTTACCACCAAGCAGAACTCACCCTGGCCAGATCATAAATTTACTCAGGGTCAGTATTAGGACGTCACGAAGCTTTGGCCGAAGTATACATCAACAATTCGGTCACCTTAAGATCTTAATGCCATTCTATTGTTTGATAAAGAAGCCCTAAAGCTGAGAAAGTAGTCTTTTTGACACAAATAACTGAAATATAGAGTTGTTACAATGTGAAAATTCGTCTAATATAATTTTGATAAATTAGCTTATAGCCCGTCAGATAGTGAAAGGTTAATGTGCCCTATTTTCGCATACAAGCCTCGAAGAGTAGAGTAGAATGAAAGGAAATTTGCTGGTGGCTCCTATGGATAACATATGGAAAATTCGATTATTCTTAACAAAAACTAAAGGTATTTGTTGCCCATATTTTCACGCAAGCCGTGGTTACTTAATGATTAACTAATAGAATAGGCTTCGGAAAACCAAAGGCTTTAATGTTGCAAGTTGATAAAGGCTTGAAATCGAGAAAAATCGAGATCTAAACCGATTTTTTTACGCAAGCCCATTATTAAATTTCTGAAAACGTACATCATCACTAGTCCAAAAAATATATTGGTTTGAATGACCCGAATGGATAAGTGCATTTTGGGTTCGGAAAATATGTCTATTAAGGAAAATCGAATAAAGAGCCACTTGTAAATTTCCTTTCATTCTACTCAACATCGATATACTTTCTAACCCTCTTCGAGGCTTGTATGCGAAAATGGGGCAAATCTGTCACTATCTGATGGTCTATTAAGAATATGGAATCACAAAACACGTATCTACCGAATTCTCACAAATTCCCCAAAACTGGGTCAATGTTCCTACTTTTACTCCACAAGTTTCAAATGCTTACAAATTTTAGCATTTACCCTCATATTGGCAACGTGAATCAACAGTCTCTTGGAAACCAGTTAGACTGCACTGCACAAAATATATTATTCTGCCGTTACCACACATTATTACGGTCGTTATTTGATGGTACCGCGTTCTAGGAAATCAAAGCTTTACTGTATGCTTGTAAATATGCATTATTAAAGATATATGTTACAATTTATTATTAAATAAAACATATAAAGGCCACGCCACTGTCTTCTAAAATTCTAAAAATAAAATAAGGTAAAGTGTTTTTCGTACTTACTCTTATACCGACAAACTGCTCATGTAGAATGACCCAAGAGAGTAAGTATACGAAAGAAACATTAGTAGCGAAAAGAGCCATGACGTCAGTCGCAAGGAGAATCCTTAAGGACATAATGTACATGTAATTCGTTCCCACCCACAGGATACAGAAGAGGCTGCATCTTGTCATGAATCTCACTGAAACAAATAGAAAAATATCATTTTAATTTTATACATTATAAATATATCTTGAGTGTCTCGTTATATTTTTTCATACACTTTATTAAAATCTATCTAACTGAACATATATTGTAGAAATATTGTTAAACATAAAAATAACTTGACTTGAACTTGGAAATTAATGAATACTTCAGTTTTTATTTTGACATTAACACTATATAGATTGCAATTTGCTGGAGACTTTTTCGCAGATTTCATTTTTAATATAAACACTATCACGTACTATAAGAAATAAACAAATTTAAAGCTAAAAAGTAAGAAAAAACTCCAATTGTAATTGATACAAATTAAAATGTAAACAATGAACACGAACGCCAATGTTGCCAAATGATGAACTGATTTTAAAACAAATTTAATACATGAACTGAAATTTAAAAAAAATCAATATAATAAATCGATTTTATAAAAATATCTTTATAAATATAATATAAATAAATATAAAGTATAATTACATATTACTAGACACAAATTTTGATTCTTAAATAAAAGGTCTTAGCCACTTCTTCAAGAGCTAAAATCCGACGACATAGCGAAATTTTGCTACTTCTGGCAACACTGATCGATATCCTACTTATACGGACCTTCTACAAATTTCCTCCAGATGGCGTATCACTTAGCTTGAATCGCGAATAGAGAAAGTAAAAGTTGGAAAGGCTTTTGGTAGGTAGAGAGGGGGTAAACGTCAAACCACGTCGGACGGCTTCGAGAATTTCGCAGTAATGTTTACCTGCCAGTGTCGTTTCATAGAATAAGTAATTTTAAATTGTTATCGGCGGAACCGGACAATCGCATGCACTTATGGACTATAAATAATTATTAAATATGTATTATAATATTCAAATCATAATTTTACAAAATTTCAACAGCTATTTACAATTTATTAAACTATTTACTCGAAATTGTTATTAACATCTATAAAATAATTTTGTACGCCAATGTATCGCGTCCACTTCTCCACTTCAGTGAGATCCGCGGCAAACCTGTCAATTTATGTGTATAAAGTGGGAGAACTGGCAAAAGCCTTTCCAACTTTTACTTCTGTTTTACTAAGCTTGTTTTACACTGCTGTCACACTTAATTGTACTTTCCTGAAAAACACCTATAATAGTTGCAACAAGAAAACATACATTAAACTGATAATTAAGAATGCAAATATACTTCCTTAAGGTAATTTGAAATGTCTTTTGTGCGCTTTAGAGCCTTATGTTTAGTCAATACCAAATTATAACCATAAACAATCCTTGTAACAATACTCTGCCATACTCTCTGCTAATAATTTGACAACTACGTGGATTACACCGTGAATGTTTTATTCGTTTTTTGTAAACAACATTAGTCTAGTAGGTTTTCGTCGTTGTATTAATCTCATAGTTATAAATTGGTCTAGTAAAATTAAGAAATTATTGGCAATTGAAGCTAAGCGATACATATTTTTGTATAAATAGGCATGTTCCATGTTACCAACCAAAGCTGAATTTTCCACCCATGTAGCCGAGGCGTGATGTTAAACCTTTTTTAAATTTGTATCTATCAATATATAAATATTTATTTAATAATGTAAAATCGTTTTAGTTGCATTAATATTTTTAAATTTAGTTAATTTATCCAACTAAAAAGAAAATGCCAACACTGGCATTTTCGTTTGTGTCACGTGTCAGCAATTTAAATAATTTTTTGAAAGCATTAGGTCTGTTCTGGTTTTGAGAAATAACAATCCACAACTGTCGGACTCATGCGCAGTAGATAAAAAGTGTTCTGGTTTTTCTGGGACTACTTTGGATCTCTCAGTCCAGTGTTCTGGTTTCGTATCCGAAATAATCCGTGATTGTTGTAAATAGTCAAAATGTGTTCATGCTTGGGAGTGTGGATCGACTCGGACTGTTTTGACCGCGCATGCGTTTTTTAAGTGTTATGAATATTGTATTGGCTTTTTAGACCATACGGAACGTATGCGATCCCAAATTGTTTATTTATATGTGGACGAATGCCTCTTGTTCTTGTTTTATTTGTAAATTAAAGCAATTTTGGAATTATTAATTTTTTTAATATTATTCTGTTTTTATTTATTCCATTGAAATGTGATGATAATGATAAACATATACATGCAAATGTTATTTGAAGCTGAGCTTTCAAAAGAAACTTCATTATTATAATAAACAATAAACAAAACACCTTTATGTGTTCTGGTTTTCCAACAATTTCAAACAGTCGGGGATTTTTTGCCTCTACGCATACGGTCCGGCGCAGTTTCAAAACAGTTTTCATTTTGAGAACCAGAACAAACCTATTTTATTTTTTCTAAAAAAAAAAAAAAACATTTATCACAAACTTGTCAATCGGCTCTCGTATTTTTATCTTTAATAATTAATCTTCAATCAGTTTTTTTTGCAAATCCCTAGATCCCATTCACGACGGGCCTAAAGCTCAGCGTTTCAGATCTACTTTATTTATGTGTACGTAGAAAATCTTCTAACCTGCAGTAAATCCTTTATCCCTGAAGTCCCTAATGCTCTCGGAGAGGATGTCCGATATTGACTCGCATCTTCTGTTACTTAGACGACAGAGAAAATAGAGGGGAAAAAATAGCATTGTCCAGTTGGTCACGAACCATGTGGTAAAAAACGGAGCCTGGTACGAGGCGGTCTGAAAAGGAGGAAAATAGGTTAATAAATAAAATAGTGAATTTTCAATAGGTGTTTTTAATGGATCGTGATCGTACTTTGCTTCTACACAAAACAAAATACCATAACAACGATGTCAGATGTCATTAGTAGCGTTCCAATTATCCAGGGGCTGGAACGGGATAGGAGCGGAGTTTTTTAGGATGCTTTTAAATGACATTTAAGTGTGTTGAATTGTCTCTATTTAAACCGAACGCTGAAAGGGTCGTTTGGAGTTAAAAGAGTGAATGAAACTTGTCTCTCCGAACTTACCTACTATCTGTCGTGAACGAATATTTTTGGTTTGGTTCTGTGTATAAATAAATAATAATTAAGAAAAACTGAAATCTCAATTATAAAGCCATGTTTTTTTTTAAACAAAAATTAAAGATTTTGTATATCATGTCAAAGAATTTAAATATAAAAATATGAGATTAGTAGATTCCGAAAGGAACCAAAGATATTGGAACACAAAATTTTATCTGAGATGCAAAAACAAACAAAATCTCCCTTTTTTGGGTGCAAAGCCTGGCTGGATCTAGTTCTTTAAAATACAGTGGCGTTACTATATATGTGGTCTATGCGGACGTGGTTTTTATATAATTAGGATTGAACTTCCTTACAGGTAAGTGGTTTAATCTTTAATTATTATAATGTACGTTGTAATGGTCTGAATTTAATTACTTTTTGATTTTATTATTAAAATATTAATATAGGATTTAGTAAACGTTCAGTTCTTATATTTTATAAAATTTTCTCAGGAAATGAAGCTTATTTTTATGCATATTGGCCTTTTATCTGAAGAAAATTATTCGACTGAGGTGCAAAATATGTTATTTTCAATTTATTTATTGGTTTTTGATTTCAGAAATGTTTGTTACACATATATTAATATGAGCAACCATGTCAAAAAAGATTACAACTGAACCCAAATAAGTAATTAGAGATTCTGTGAGTTTTTTGGACTTATTTGGAGTTTGAACTTGTCGGATTTTGCATGTATGCCACTGATTTAGAAAATATATTAAAATATTTGTCATTTAAACATGCTCTTTATTTTTATTCAATTTAAAATATTTTTTTTTTATATACAATATGTCTCACTGGAAAACTTATGGAAACCATATGGGAAACTTTTTAATTATTAATATTAGGAAAAAAAGTTATTTTTCATAAAAAGTCGAGAATGGTCTAAAATACAACGATCGGACAAATTTTATCAGTCGTATCCGAGGTTTGTCAAAAATACTCTTCAGCAAAAATAATAATTTTTGAAAAAAATTCGTATACGGCTTTAAAAAATTGATATCTAATAGTTGCATTTGAAGTTTTGGACCATGCAGAACTTTTTATCATTTATAAATTTTTTCACAAATCCAATAATAAAAAAGTTTTCCATATGGTTCCAACTTATTGAGACATATTGTATATTATTGGACCTAGGATTAAAAAACCTGTATGTGCATATTTCAAAGCCATACAGACTTAATACATAGGTAATCAAAATTTACAATTATTACCAAAACTAATAACTAGCAACCAATTATAATTTAACAATTAAAAGCAACTTAAATTACATAAATATAAACAATCAGTTAAAATAATCTAAAAAGCCTGAAAGAAGATGTCACTATTTGACAAAAAATAAGCTTTAAACAATTTGTTAAATTTTTTTTGTAGTTCCGCGAATATGCACAAGGATGAGATTATACATTTTATGCCCTATATATAAAACAAAATTTTGTCCCTGATTATTTCTGCAGAATAAGTGCTAAACAAGTTGTTAGTATTCCCCTACTACCATTTACTAATAGAAAATAAAAAATTAAAAAATTTCTTTTAATCAGGCCCAACCTATTTTTCAATTCTCGGAAAGATATTTTCCAAGAATAAGAAAACATAAATTCGTTCACCATTAAATGCTTCAGTTTAGCTATTTATGGGTATTGCAAATTTATTAATGCAGCACAATCTTGAAAGTATGAGTTGCCAAACTGGATGTATACCTACCACATCAAAGTATGTGATACCTACTATCGAGAATTGAAAAGCATTTTAAATTAGCCTTTTTCCTGGGACGATTTAAAAAACATATGTTAGAGTAAGTGTTCTGTGCATATGTTTCGAATTCTCTATTGACAACAACGTCAAACGTACGTTTTATTATTAGAATAAATAAATATTGTGATAAATAAAATTAAAAAACAAATTGTCATGCCTACAAAACATTGTGCGTTTGCAAATTGTACGTCTGACAATCGTTACAAGTAAGATGGTGTAAAATTTGTGCCTTTTATAAAACCACAAGTGGACAAAAAAAAGTGTTTGGAGTGGATACATTTATCACGAAGGGCAGATTTAACAGTTAAAAAAATTAAAAAACATACTTTTATTTGTACAAGACATTCAAATGGACCAACAATAGAAAACCCAAATCCATTGCCAGCGACAGTTTCAAAGGTTAGTAATTGTTTATTCAAAGAGGTTATATTTTATATCAGTTTACATATTATTATCATTATTGATAGTAAATAATGAACTTAAACTTCTTTTTAATTGTGTATGAAATATAAAAGACAGCAACGATGTATTGAAGAGGACTCAAGCACTGGAAAAAATAAACATCAAAAACTTATCTGTTCTACTGTTACTGATGTTGAATTACTACAAATTAGTAATAAAAATGCTAATAGTAATCAAAAATCCAAACTAAATAATAATTTAGCCTCTGATCTTGCACTTTTGCAACTTTCAATTTCGCTCCAGGTACATCATTTTCCGTTCATTTCCATTATAAATCTATACGTTTGACGTTGTTGTTAATAGAAAATTCAAAACATATGTACCCTCCCACCGGTGCTGCCCCTAGCGTATATTTTTTAAATCTTCCCAGGAAAAAGGCTAATTACACGTTCCACGTAAATTATGACACAATAAAGGTATGTTAAAATTTACATCTTGTTTATAAAAAATGACGTCTCATTATGACGGTCCATCAATGATGATAATAATAAATAAGTATATAGTTTGAGCTGATGACAAATTTGAGGAAGGTATTTTAGGAAATTTGAAATTAAAACAGTACTTACTGTATCTACATTAGCAAAAAATAAATCCGAAAAAATATCCTCCAGGCATTCTGGAATTATTTTAATTTTAGGGTGTCTCAGTGGTTAGAGTCTGAACATATTAATCAAAGGGTCCGCGGTTCGAATTCATCGACGGACGAAATTTTTTAGTTTAGTTTATTTAAAAATAATTCTGATACATAAGTAAGATTCCTCACTTTCACTGTTTAGTTCTAATTAACAGTGGTGTTACCGCGGCTGTTCCTAAAGTGGCGTTGGGAAACAGTAACAAGGCCTGTCAGTAGGGATGCAGGAATATAAGAGTAGCAGCACACCTGAACTATGGAGTATTAGACTACTAGTATAATCCACAACCTACACAGACACGAGGCTAATGACCTAAGTGGTCGAAGCCTGACAAAAAAGGAATCAAGAAATAAAAATCTCAGACTATTTCGACGGTGTTAAAGTACGATCCGACTGCCCCGAATTTGATTTATTAATATACGCTGAAAATATAATTTAGGCACCCTAAAATATTTTTAAAGCAAATTTATTAATATTGAAGGCAGAAAAAAGCTCTCTCAAGGGAACCACACTACAGCATTGGTGCGCTAATCAAAGAGGATGACATGAAAACTGCAAACCTCGAAGATAGCATTAAACGACTTCTGCTGTCAACATACTTTCCTGACTCGGTCGTCAAAGACGTGGTTGACTGGAGAAAGGAAGAATACAACTTATCTGTCTACGATAAGCAAACTGCCAAACACACTGCAACACACTGTAACAAAATTAGATAGGCAATATCTAGCTTCTCTCCATTTAAATCGCCAGGACTTGAAGGTATCTATGAGGTCCTACTTCAGTGGGGTCTCAAATAACTCACACCGTACCTAGTAAGTATATTCAGATCCTCATTGGTCCTGAGGTATATCCTTAAAAAATGGAGAGATGTAAAAGTGGTCATCATACCCAAACCTGGAAGAATGGATTACACTGTCAGAAAAATATACCGACCATTTAATCTGACATCGTTTTCCATGAAGACAATGGAAATGCTATGCAAAAGGTACATAGGGGTTGTTGTAATTACAACAACACCACAACACTCAATTCAAAATGCAAACACCCCCGGAAGATCTACTATTGAACCCTTTACCTAGTTGCTGGCCGGATAGAAAGATCCCTGAACAATAAGGAGTCTGCCGTGGGCCGTGGGTGTTTTCATAGACATAGAAGGTGCATTTGACAAAATAATATACTCACTAACCAAAAGGAATATTTCACAGATGGTTAGTGGGTAGATACATAACATCTCAAAGCGAGCAGTAAACATAAGTGAAGATGTGAATATAAGAGGCTTGGTTGCGAGGCAATATCCACAGGGAGGGGTGTTATCACCTCTTCTGTGGAAGATGATCCTCTACACCCTCATCAGCCGCCTCAATGATGAGAGACTCTACACAATAGTGTATGCAGATGACTTGCATTGCATTGCAAACAAGGAATTTTGGAAACGTACTCTGCGAATGGATGCAAAAAGCTCTCAAATTTATAGAAAAGTAATGGAGGGATCATTCACTGTTTATCAATCCCAAGAAGACAGAAATGGTCCTTTTCGCAAGGAAAGGGATTAAAATCGAAGTAACTTGGTCTCACCTTTGACATCAAGTTAACATGGAAGTCACACTTAGAGAACAGAGTTAAAAGCGCATACCTTACATGTGAACAATGCCGCCGAACTGTAGAGTACACCTGGGGTTTCTTCACCAGAATCATCACATGGACTTAACCGGCCATCATGAGACCTATGCTAACATACGGTATAGTTGTCTGAGTTTCGAAAACCCAACAATTGACAACTATCCGCAAACTAGAACAAATTCACAGCGTGTCTCAACACAACAGGATC